GGATTGCTCTGCTTTTGCTTTCTAGTAGTAGTGGTCTTAGTAGTCTTTGTAGTAGTCTTAGTAGTCTTAGTAGTAGTCTTAGTAGTAGTCTTAGTCTTAGTAGTAGTCTTAGTCTTAGTAGTAGTCTTAGTCTTAGTAGTAGTCTTAGTCTTAGTAGTTTTAGTCTTAGTAGTTTTAGTCTTAGTAGTCTTAGTCTTAGTAGTAGTCTTAGTCTTAGTAGTAGTCTTAGTCTTAGTCTTAGTCTTAGTCTTAGTAGTTGTCTTAGCAGTAGTCCTAGTCTTAGTAGTCTTAGTCTTAGTAGTAGTAGTCTTAGTAGTAGTAGTCTTAGTCTTAGTCTTAGTAGTTTTAGTCTTAGTAGTAGTCTTAGTCTTAGTAGTCTTAGTCTTAGTAGTCTTAGTCTTAGTAGTTGTCTTAGCAGTAGTCTTAGTCTTAGTAGTAGTAGTCTTAGTAGTAGTAGTCTTAGTAGTCTTAGTAGTAGTCTTAGTCTTAGTAGTAGTCTTAGTCTTAGTAGTAGTAGTCTTAGTAGTCCCTACCGCATGTTATTGGCCCAATAATGGGAACGCCTGGTAACCGGCCTCGATTACCAGGCTATAAGGTTACTGGGTCGTTTAACGGGCTAGGGTCGTTAATCGGCCAGTTACCCGTAATCAGGCTCCATTACCAGGGTGGTTTACCAGGGTCGTTTATCGGGTGGCCAGTTACAAGGCTAGGGTCGGTAATCGGTCAGTTACCCGGTAATCAGGCAGCATTATCGGGTGTTTACCAGGTCGTTTATCAGGCGGCCAGTTACAAGAATGTCCCCGGTAATGGGGCAATAACATAGATATTATCAGGACGTTAACCGACCAAACTCTTACGCATTAAACAGCGATTACCAGCTTCATAGCGGGTTCATATTATCCTACACAAAGCATTGCCCAATGGCCTACTACAACCTGCTCACATCTCTCAATCGGTACCACGAGGACTATAGGCCCTTCTTTAGTCAACATTAAGAATCACTTAAAACGACAGGCTGTCGCGTCATACGACTGTAGCACCGAACAAAACACGTGTGTACGGCAGACTATAAAAGACGATTATAAAAGACGGTAAAATGAACGTGACGCTAAAATGTCGTGACAAGGCGCCCTCCAGGTTCCTGATCACTGCCCACGGTCTGCTACCTCCGCTGCTTCTTCAGTCCCCCCTTCCGAATCTCTGCCATGGCCTTCTTGCCCTTCTCCTGCTGCACCTTAGCCCCGCGGGTCTGTACAGCTCGGCCTTTACCGACACCAAACGATTCCATCCTCATTGCGGGGTTTGATGCTGTGGCCCCGAAAGCCGAAGGGTCCTCCGGCAACACCAGTGGGGTTTCCTTAGGGCGTGGACGCTTGGTTCGTGCAGGCACCACCATGGCCACCGTTTCTTGGCTCTCCCGCGCCTTCGCCGAGGGTTGCCTCAGGCGCGTGGGCCGCCCTCTGGCATCCAATGCCCCTACAAAAAGTGAGAGTGATTCATAAATTAATTTTTATATGAAGTCGTAATTTATTGCCTTGTTGTTAGTAAGTTCCGTGTGTAGTCATAATTTATTGTCATGTTGCAGCTACAATTTACCTTTGTCATGTTTTCCGGTCACCAGGACCTTGCGGCGCCCAGTTGGTTGAGGCGCGGACTTGCTGTGGACCTTCTGGCTCTTGCTTCTGCCGTACTCCTCGAGCAGGGCTTTGCCCCCCGTCCCCTCGTCATCCTCCCCTCCCTCGTCCTCCCCTCCCTCATCCTCCCCTCCCTTGTCCTCCCAGTCCTCGTCCTCCCCGCCCATGTAATCCCCGCTCTCGTACGGCCAGTCCCCGTCCTCCCCACCCTCATCCTCCCCGCCCTCATCCTCCGCGCACTCGCCCTCGCCCTCGTCCTCCCCGCCCTCGCCGTCGTCCTCCCCGCCCTCGCCCTCGTCTTCCCTGCCCTCGCCGTCGTCCTCCCCGCTGTAGTCCCCATCATCTCCCTCATCCCCATCCTGGCGGCTGCTCTTCTGGCCGAGGGGCTCCTGCTGCGTCTCCATAACGTTGGCCTGGCCTGGGGGGTTGTACATTTTGTTGTGAAGTTAGGAAGGGATACAAGCAACATGATGTATTGCATGACAGGGAAGTTTCAAGTAGTTAATGTACATTACCTTCATGTCTGAACTTAGTAACAACGCGTGGGTATTTAGCTTTTACTGAGCAGTGGCGTTCACTTACCCTCCGTTGCAGCCGTGTGGTTGCTCTTCTTGCGTTCCTGACCTGCAAAAGAGAACACGGAGGCACAGATTGCAAGTGAGGTTGAGGTCGTCTTGAGGTTGAGGAAACGTCCACGTTTTTCCTTTGCATGCATTACCTGCTGGCTGAGTTCTGCCCTCGACATGGGCAGTCACCCACTCCTTAAAGAGCTCGGTCGCACGGACGGCGTCCATGGTCGCCACGGTCTCGATCTTAGCCTTGTCTGCAGTCGTCAGTCCGATGGCCTTGAAGAAGTCCGACTTCTTCTTCTCTGCATGCATCGGCATCCGAAACGCGGGTTACTCAAACCCTAACGTAAAGATCAGCACTGTGGGAGTGTGAGGTGTAACGCACAGTTTGATTGAATATCGTTTGGTTTCCGAAACATCACCCTGGCTACCTGACTGATGGTTGACCATCGCGTTCTGCAGCTTCGTCTTCAAGGCGTCATAGACAGCGTCGTACGTAGCCTTGTCTTCCTGCTGAAGCTTTGACAGGCTCTCTCCAGTCAGTGACTTGAAGAGCGCCACCATCCACCGCTTCCCCAAGTTCTTAAGGTCAACAACGTCGGTTGTCTTTTTCACCGCGCCCTTAAGCTTGTCCTTCTTCGCCAGTGCGGACGACAGGGTGTCCCAGGTAATCCCAAGGATAAGGAACCTGAAAATGTGCCAGCGTTATGTGATCTTTCAAAGAAAAGTACCCATGTCTACTACATCAATCTATGTTGTACCTACCCGCACGTGTACCACTTGTTTATCTTGATGGCGTCGGGCTTCGCAATCTTCTTAACGACCCCTGGTACTTCGATGGTATGGTGGAGGACAAGTGCTTGGCCACTTGCTTGGTTTTGGAAGGCTCAGTTCCAGTTGAGGCGTTACTGCATGACATGTCAGTGAGAACGGAAGGAATGGCAAGTGTTGAAATAACATCGTGACAGAGTTGCAGAGTATCACAAGATAGCCAGCGCATACTGACAGATAGCCTTAGACGGAGATTACATGTGTGAACCCCCCCCCAGGGTATCCGTTACCTTTCTTTATCAAAAGCTTAGTCTGTTGCCCCCTGTTCTGCATACCCTTATTCCTTACCTGTCCCGGCGCTCGTTGTTGTCCTTGGGGACAAGAATACTAACGAGTTTGATGGACTCCAATGCGTCGATGCCAAGTGTGGTCACCAGCGCCTTTTGCACGTGCTTGACGCCGCAGTACTCGGTCGCCTTCACTAATTCCGCAATGAACGCGTCCATCTTCATAGCCTTCTGCCGTAGATAGATGCTAAGTTTGTGGGCGACTGGACCACTGATGCCATTGGCGCGGGCCACCGCCGTAACGCCCGGGCTGCCGTCAAGAAGCAAAGGGAGAGATGGAGGAGAGACGTAGTCTTGTAAAACATCCATCAGCACGGAGTGTTCACACGTGAAAAGGTCGGCGGCTTCAAGTAATTCCCAAATGGATAGCTAAGCTACTTACACGTAACCACTCTTTATAATACCCTATCAAAGAAATGTAAGGGGTTTGTTTTCGTTACCGAGTAGGTGGATGGATTGGCTTTGATCTGTACGACTCTGTGTGGTGTATGGCATTCGGGGTGTTTCCACTTGGCCGCACACTAACTTTAAAGTTAGTATTAAAATTTTAAACATTATCTTTAATGTGGACTTAGGGTGCGGCTAGTGGACAGGTGTTTCCACTAAGCGCCCCGGATCCATACGATCGCGACAGGTTGCTTTCAAGGCACCAAACCATTGTTATAGTAAGAGTGGGTGTAATTTATAAATCACAATTCTTTATTGTTTTGTCGGCTAATCGCTGGAGTGTGGGCAATTCGATCGGTCCTGCTGTGAAATCCACTGGCTAGCGGGCTACTTAAATTTGCGGCTGTGGATGAAGGAAATTACAAAAGTCAGCGTAGGGCCTTGAGGAAGGAAAATGGCGGACTATGAATTTTCTCGCTCGGAAGTTAATGTCCACTTTGAAAGTTATCAGCAGGTCTGAGGCCCTGATAACTTGTGTGCCACCAATGCGGACTTAGTGTGGGAGGCGTACGCTCTCGTACGCGTACGCACTGGGCCGTTCGGCTTTTCGCGTACGGGGTCCCTTTACGCGATTTCTCGAAGGATTTTTACTTTCTACTATTGAATGTAACTAGTTCCTTATCGCTTGCATGATTTTCTGAGCCAGGCGTGAGAGTTTTGAAACTTAATGCTAGTGTGCGGCCAAGTGAAATCACCCTGTT